CCCAGTTCTCCAATCTCACATTTACATGTGAGATCTCTAGCCACGCCCACTTTGCTTATGACCCTTGGGCTACACCCATCTCAAACCTTAATAACATCTTGCCTCAACAGCTCTCCCGCTATATTTTTTCACCTGATGACGATTGCTTGTGTTGCGATCGAAACGTCGTGATATTTATTTATTTATTATTTTTAAATCAACGTGGCTTTACCGAAAGACCCAAAGAATATGAATTATTGCAGTCACGAAAGCTTTAAGTCAATATTCAGAAGATTAGTGTTGGATACAACTGCATTTGCGAATGTGATTGGTTACTTTGATCTTTACCCATATATATTTTATTATTTTATTGTTTCCCTTCAACGTTACTTTATCGAAAGAGCTAAGAATATGAATTATTGCAGTCACAAAAGCTTTAAATCAAAACTTTACCCATATATCAATAGTTCATTGTTAATGTGCACTTTGAATGAGGGACTGTGTGTTGTTGTCTTGGTGTGGTCTGGCACTGTTCTTGCTGTTGTTATACTGCCTTGCCCAGGCTTGGGAATTTGTTTACTTATGCAATTTGAACGTATACACTTGACCTATTTTATTATTTATTCGTAGTGATTTTCTTACTGTTCCTATACTATGGGTCCTATCGTTTTTTACTATTAAATTTGACTTAAAGCTTTCGTGACTGCAGGAACTATTTTATATATTTTTTATTATGTTTTCTATCTACGTGGCTTTACAGAAGGACCCAACGAATATGTTCATACTATTGTTTGTTATAGCGACTTTCTGGGCCGCCCCTTCTAGACATCTGTAAAAAATCTTCATAGCTCATCGGATTTCTCCAGAATAAATAAAGAATCTGATTTCGTATTTTTCAGGGAGATTGCAACACTGCAGGATCTTGATAGACGCATTGATTCAGCAGTGGATTAATCATGGCCGATGAAGATGATCACGATATCAATATGCACATTACTTGATTACTTGATGGTCATGATGGTACAGGAATATTGTAGGTAGCACGGTGTTCCGTGAAAGTGGAACCTGTTGCAGTGATAAACAGACGACGATGCGTTCTGTTACCGGCAGAATGCGCTAGGGAGCAACTCAATGACAGAGAGATTTCCCAATAAAATGAAAGTTGTTGTACAGCTCAACTGCGATAATTGCTTTGTGAAAGATGAAATTGTGATGCATATGAACAGGCCCATGTAATTTTAATGTGATAGAAGAAGAGCCAGTGTTGAGATTCTTTCATAATTCGTGACATTTTATTGCAATGAGTCAGATAAAATATAAATGTAATGCGAGTGATCACAACCCCAATGATATTTAAAAAACGAAATGGGACTTGAGGTGAGTAAAGAAAGTGTAATAATGAGAATAAAAGGATTGGGTCTCGCTGTGTCGGCCGGGCTGCCCTGAGAGGTCTATTCACAGGCGCTGTCCCACCACTGATCGGCACGGGGACTTTGGCCTGCTCCGTCTCCGGCCTGGGCCGGTTCGTCCCTCCTTAGTACAACAACCTGGTGCGCGGGAGCTCCCCCTCGCTCACCATATTGATACCGAACTTGGTGCGGACGCCCGATCGGCATAGAGCCTCACAGCGCAGGACTCCCGTCCTCAAGCGATCCCGCAACCCACGCCTCCAAGTAGCTGGATTACAGGCGCACGCCACCGCGCCCGGCGAGAGCAGCGGCCCCGCTTGGCCTCTTTGAGTGTCGAGTGGCCCCGTCACTCAGGGACGCGACGTGGTTACACGGAGTTGCTCAGAGCTGTCTACATTAGGATGTAGGCATGAGCAGCTCTTTCATCAGCTGTCATTAACGTGGGGAATGTCGCCACTAATGAGTCGCTCAGCGGCGCATTCTAGCGGTGACGGAGCGCATCGCTGCCACGTGGTTGAGATTGTTGAGATTAATATTGTGCCTGCAAAACATTTCCACGTGATGATGATAAGCCACTTCGCTTACCTATCATTTGTGGCCAGGTTGCTTCTGAAAAAGAAAGCTAATAGCTCAGTGAGCTTTACCTGACAAGATAAAAAATAATTTAGTTGTATGTTTATAAATCCATAAGAGTTTTTTTTGCTAGATCGCGTAAATATATGAATGTGGCGGGTTTAATGACACATTTATATATTTACGCGATCTAACCCAAAAAAACTCTATTATGGATGATATTAGTCGCGAAAGCTTACGTGTTACATTTGTATACATGTTTAATTTATTTATTTACCTTTCCTATACTCTGAACTCCTATCGTGTGTTGTATTCATACTCTTTGGTTCTATTGGGTAAAGTCACGTAGGTGAAAATAAAATAACAAAAAATCACGACGTTTCGGCCACAACACAAGCGGCCTTCATCAGGTTGTGGCCGAAACGTCGTGATTTTTTGTTATTTTATTTTCACCTACGTGACTTTACCCAATAGAACCAAAGAGTATGGATCCTAGCAGTCACGAAAGCTTTAAATCTAGAAGTGTTTTGTATTGTTCTTGAAACGTTCTGACCCGTCCCTTACTGGACATCTGTGAATACGAGCTTCACAGCTCATCGGATTCCTCCAGTAATTAATACATATTCTCATCCTATTCTCACTGCGCCAGATAACAAGGTTTGATTGCTCAGTATACCATTGGACAGCAAGGGCTAAAAAGACGCTCGAAAAAAAACCAGATGTAGTTGTCACGTACAAATTACCCAGCTTAAAAGTTTCAACAATTTTAAACAATTGAGAGGCCCTTCAATCCTACAGCTATCATTCTACCAATTTTCGAACCCAGCGACACTGTTTCAAGATCAGCTACTATTGAAACACTAAACAGACTAACCCACTATCATTCTACTTTTGGATTTGCACTGGATGATGATATACAGGAGCTACCATTATGACCTCTACTTAGAGTCAAATCTCACATCACTTGATGCAAGTATTGGGCCCTGTTCATCCATAAATTCCTTATTGACAACTCATCACTATACTTAGCGAAGTCATTATCCCCATTGTAAAGCACAATAAACCTAAGACGTCCATTCAAATTACCTTTAAAATATCCCAAGAACAAGAATTATAATAGGTGACAATGCCTTTGCAGTTGCATGACAACGGTTTGGAACAACCTCGTTTCAACATCATAAATATTCCTTCAAAACATATCCTGAAGCAGAAGATTAGTGTTGGATACAACTGCATTTGCCAATGTGATTTGTAACTTTTATCCTTACCCATGTATCAATAGTTAACTTTAAATGTGTAATTTTATTGGTGACTGTGTGTTCTTGTCTTGGTGTGGTCTGGCACTGATCTTCCTGTTGTATTGCTGCCTTGCCTCCGCTTGGGAGTTTGTGTACTTTTGCAATTTTAACTGAAATACTCTATCTATTTTACCATTTATTTTTTGTGATTTGCTTACCTTTCCTGTACTTTGCACTCCTATCGATTTTGCTATTGTTTGTTGTTGTGACTTTCTGGGCCGCCCCTATTAAACGTCTGTGAAAATGAGCTTCATAGCACATCGGATTTCTCCAAGATAAATACGTTTATAATTTATTAGGTAGATTGCAACTCTGCATAACCCTGAGAGAATAAACAACGTGATGCCGTTATTCAGCAGTGGATTGATCATGGCCGATGAAGATGATCACGATATCAATATTCACATTACATTACTTGATTGCTTGATGGTCATGATGGTACAGGAACATTGTAGGTAGCACGGTATCCGTGAAAGTGGAACCTCTTGAAGTGATGAAGACGACGATGCGCTCTGTCACCGGCAGAATGCGCTGGGGAGCAACTCAATGACAGAGACTTTTCCCAATAAAATGAAAGTTGTTTTACAGCTCAGCTGCGATAATTGCTTCGTGAAAGCTGAAATTATGATGCATATGAACACTTCCATGTAATTTTAATGTGATATGAAGAAGGGTCAGTGTTGAGATTCTTTCATAATTCGTGAAATTTTATTGCAATGAGTCAGATAAAATATAAATGCAATGCGAGTGAGCACGACCCTAATGATACATTAAAAACCTGAATAGGACCTGAGGTGAGTAAATAAAGTATAATAATGAGAATAAAAGGATTGGGTCTCGCTGTGTCGGCCGGGCTGCCCTGAGAGGTCTATTCACAGGCGCTGTCCCACCACTGATCGGCACGGGGACTTTGGCCTGCTCCGTCTCCGGCCTGGGCCGGTTCGTCCCTCCTTAGTACAACAACCTGGTGCGCGGGAGCTCCCCCTCGCTCACCATATTGATACCGAACTTGGTGCGGACGCCCGATCGGCATAGAGCCTCACAGCGCAGGACTCCCGTCCTCAAGCGATCCCGCAACCCACGCCTCCAAGTAGCTGGATTACAGGCGCACGCCACCGCGCCCGGCGAGAGCAGCGGCACCGCTTGGCCTCTTTGAGTGTCGAGTGTCCCCGTGACTCAGGGACGCGACGTGGTTACACGGAGTTGCTCAGAGCTGTCTACATTAGGATGTAGGGATGAGCAGCTCTTTCATCAGCTGTCATTAACGTGGGGAATGTCGCCGCTAATGGGTAGCTCAGCGGCGGGACTATTCAAACGTTGTCCAAATGCTTTTGTCATCAGTTTGCTACCTGACAATGTCCAACGCGTCAAGCGGCCAGCAACCAACGGCACTGTTGATTTTAAGCCACTCGGTAATTGCTGAATGCGGCGTGGAGTCTCACTCCACGTACTAAGAGTTATCACCCAGACACGGGGGGGGGGCGTGGGGGTTGCGTGAGTGAGTCGACTCCAGCTTGCTATGCCCTACTGCCTTTTTGTTGCCTCGTAGAAATCCAACCGCGGCCACCACGGTAATGTGGAATGAGCAACCACCACTGGGTGAAGGTAAACCCGATCTCAAACCCGTGTTCGCCGTGGTGAGGCCTCGGGGAGGAGCCTCGCGTTAGTGGGGCGTGGCTCCCTGTGAGTGGGCGTGATCCCGTGGGCGTGCCTCATTGCAATGGGCGTGGCCTCGCAGCCGTAGGCGTGGCTTCGCGCAAGGGGGCGGTGTCCCCGCGGCCTGCTCGCGCTCCCCGCGGGAGCCGGGCCTCCCTCGCCTGTCGACGTTGCCGAGCGAGGCCGGCCACCCTCCGATGCCGGCTGCGCCGCGACCCCGCGCCGCCGCCAACGCCGCCGAGGCGGCCGCGCTCTCGGCCAACGAGCGCATCCTGCAGGCGTGCCACGATGCGTACACGCATCCCGACAAGGGTAAGGGGAGCCGCGACGAGCAGCGGCCAAACACAAACCCGCACCACCGTCGGGCTCCACTACCGACCGCAACAACAACGGGCGGCCGTTACTGCTGTTAGCTCGTCACTCTCACGTCACTCTCACGCATCTCACGGGGAGGGAGCGAGGGAGAGAGTCCCTCGCGCTGGTCTCACGGCGGCGCTGCCAGCAGAGCCGACCCAAGTGGCTCCCGCCGGCGTCCCCCGCAATGGCGCGGGGTCGAGCGGGTGCCCGGCGGCTGTGCGGCGTAGCTCGCGGGGCCGTCTCTGCTCCACGACCTCCTCCTCCCTCCCTCCCCCCCGGCTGAGAAGGCGGCCCCTGAGGCAGTGATTGGAAATTCCACGTTCCCACGTTCCGCGGGTCGGTACAGCAGTGCCGCTGCCGCTGCTTCTTAACCCGGGGGTGCGAGGCATGGGCGATTTGTTTAGAGGGTAAATCATCTAAACAAATTAAGCACAGGCACGTAAGTTACAACTTGCTTTGTTTCATCAAACCCTATGTATTAATATTTTACATTTTAGTATCTATTGAGAAGCAAAGGGGTGCAAGTCTAGAGCAGTGATGGTTATTAATAACCACTGCTCTAGACTGCTGTGTTCGCCGATTTCCCCTGTACAAGAATACGGAGTAAAACCGTAGTCACGAATTTAATATTAAAGGCGAGCCACGGTAGTGGGACTGCCCATATAGTAAACCATTGTAATGATGACCAAAATAAAAAAAATAGGTTTTACTGGCAATAAAACAGGTGTTAAAACACCAAATAAAACCATTTTGCAAGGCATCAAGTCTGCATTAACCACACAGTACTTGAGGCAAAGCATGCAAACAACATGCACTGGTATAATATAGTACTTGCATTGTCTTTGAAACGGATTGGCCTAGACCAGAGACAGACTTTGTCTCACCAGAGGCAGACTTTGTCTCACCAGAGGCAGACTTTGTCTCACCAGAGACAGGCTTTGTCTCACCAGAGACAGACTTTGTCTCACCAGAGGCAGACTTTGTCTCACCAGAGACAGACTTTGTCTCACCAGAGACAGACTTTGTCTCACCAGAGACAGACTTTGTCCCACCAGAGACAGACTTTGTCTCACCAGAGACAGACTTTGTCTCACCAGAGGCAGACTTTGTTTCACCACAGACAGACTTTGTCTCACCAGAGGCAGACTTTGTCTCACCAGAGACAGACTTTGTCTCACCAGAGAACAACTGGGGGAGGAAGAGCACAAAGCAGGTATCAGAGCACCTACAGCTGCGGTCGAGCAGTTATATTTTGCCTGTATCAAAATAATGAAAAGAAAAATTGGTTTTATTGTCAGAAACGGTCAAAACCTATTCCTATTTTCATCATTTTTGATACTGGGAAAAAGTCCCGTACTGAAGCTATACACCACTGTGCTCCTTGAACAGAGGAAGGAGGAACAGCAAAACGACATGGACTCTGGACTGAAGCCCTCTCATCAAAATCTCGCTGTACGCAAGACGAGAATAAACGTTAAAGATTCAGGGGGCGCGAATCAATCCATTATTTTCTCTCGTCTCCCTTTTTACCTGAATATTTTTTTGCGTCCCATTTCTGCACGCCTCGTTTGTGCACCTTTAGTTTCACAAGCCTAAAGGTTACATTTCATTTGGATATACTGTCCTGTACTTTACATGAATGTCAACGAGATATTTGTACGCATTTCGATGCGTGTGTTTGTGTGGACTCACACTCGATGTTCATCAAGGAAATAGGTCGCATCCTTCAGCATATCATGGTCCACTGCCTTTGCGATTTGATGAGCCGTCAGGTATTGTAGTCACTTTTGTAATAACTGATTAATGTTGTAGGCTTTTGTTTGTATTGTCTGCCCATTAGGTCCTGTATTATTTGGCATGTCTTGTTCTATGAGCCTGGAGGTGTATTAGCATATCGTGAGGCGACGTTGAAACATCTATTGTTCGATGCACGGTTTGATGCTCTTGTTCCGACTGTGTTATTCGATGTACCAATGGATATAAACATTCCTAGAATATTCTTAGGATCATTGTCCCCAGCATTCAGTAACATGAGCTTAAGAGGACGTCCACACGAGATGCAGCTACGAGATCGGTTAATGTGTGTATGTATGTTAAACTTCTTTCGCACCGTACGTAGCCGACCGCGCTAACCGGAGGTGCAGGTTTTTTTGGATGCAACGCAGGATCGTGAGAGGTGGCGGCGGCGGCGGCTTGGGGGAGGAATTCATCCAGCAGTGGAATGATCATGGTTGATGATGACGACCACTTGGTGATCTTATGTGTAATGTCTGCCACTTGATGGGTAGTGGACAATGCCCTTTGTGTTAAACGGAAGAGTGAGTGGGCCCTGCCACGGTCAAGTGGAATTACCACCTCTAGGGCAAGAAGTAGAAATAAGCACTGCACATGGTTACTGTATCAGGAGAGACTTGGTTTAAAATCTATAAATACAATATAATCACGTGACCGCTTAAGGTCTCAGATCTCCCTGGTGAAGAAGTGATTAATAAGACTGCTATCGCCACGTGAACATGTATTTTTACAGTAGAAGTTCTGTGTCTTTATCAGAGGACACTAGTCACGCTAGTGCAGAATAGACAAGGGGGAGGCCTTTGTATGTCTGCGTCATGTACTTTTGCTGTTTTTGTTTGACCGTAGCATATATGGGCAGTGGTGAGGTGGATCGTGCACTTCGGCATGACCCCAGCCAACCATGAAAACTCCAAGGGAAATTGGTATGCGCATGTATTATGGCGCTTTGCTGGATTGGCTGAGCCTGCAATGAGTATCGAGGGTGGTGCTGTCCCCACCACCACTGTGTGTGCTGTGCTGGATTTTAAAAAGCGACTTTGCGAAACAACAGATGCCTCAATACTCTGTCCTTAGGTATGCAGTGTAATCCTCAAATAGAATGTCCTCTTTTCCTTTTTGCTTAAAATTCAAACTTTGCATAGAAGGGGACAAACTCTGAATGGTTAATTAAAGACCTTGGGCTCATTTTAGCAACGCAACACGATACGGTACATACACGTCCCCGTGGGTGTTAAAGTCCATTTGGAAGCCAGAGAGAGAGAGTCCAGGGTGGAAACGCGTGAAAGCGTTCGTGCGTCAGTCGCTGATACAGGTTGCATGGCCCCATAGCTGCTGAAGAGGCTCTTGTGGATTGTGAAAGAGGCATTCCGTTATCGTCAGCTGCTAATGAGTGAAGTGCCTTGGCTCCCATGCGTCTCCCTTTATCATTTATAGTATGTTGTCAGTCCACTGCTGTACGAAGGCCTGCCCTTGCTGTGGCAGTCATTGGGGTTATTTGACCATACTTCACCATGCTGGTTAGTTCAGCTTGGTGAAGATGGGAGGGTTCTGGATTGGTTAAGATGTCACTTGCCACTGATGGTAGCTGTGGCTGGGAACTCAGGTCTCCGGGGTCATAATGCACTGCACTTATCACTGCACCACCCCTCCACCACACTTATTCCTTTGATCTTTACGAAAATATGACAGCAGAATAATTCGATTTTTTTTTTGTTTTACCACGTAAGGCCCACTGAGCTATATAATTCTTTTACAGAAGCGTCCTGGCCACAAGGTGTTTTTTTTCATATGGAAATGTATAGCAGCCAAATACTCTTTAACGCACCTTTCTAAAAATACAACATGGGTTCATTACTTGAGTCCTCTTAGATCATTGTCGCTGGTTTGTCGTTGCGGGGTCATGGTTTTGTCGACATCACACTTGGCATGCAGTCACGTGGAAAGACAGCTGCTGCCTCTGCTTCTTCCAATAAACATACGCAACTGTTTTTCAGCTGTTCAATTAGCACAATGTCTCAGTTTTAACCAATATAGATACAGTTTCCAATAATTGTCCACTTAAGGAATTCTTACACGTTTTTGTGGAACCGCTGCCATGTGATAATGACACTTCATTTGATATTCTGTCTTGCCTCAACATGTAATCTGCTGTGCAGGCGATTGAGTCGTTTTCTCTGTGGTTAAATTATCCTTTCAAATTTTTTTTTATGCTTTAAAAAAAGTTCAGGACTGGAGTTGGCCGTATGATCTGCTAAACTCAATTTAAACATTGCAGTATGCTTGTCATGAGAACATGAAACTGTCTGGACGCTGGTTTAATCCATGGTGGTTGACTTTAATTATAAATATTCTTTATTTACCCAGGAAAACCTTGCTGAGTCTCAAGACATCTTAGAAAGGTCCTGCGTTGGGACGTTTGACCAATTTCATTAGGATTGTTTGCGTGTGAGCGGAATCCAGAGAAAACTCGCCACACATAACACAGCATCATTCTCAAAAACTCACACAGACAGGTTCAGGAACCTATGAACTATTCTGCCAACTGGCCAACCTCCCAGCCCAACGAGTTTCACAAGTGTACGTGACCCACCAACCCTGTCGCCTCCAAAGTGCTGGTTTAAAGGCGTGCACCAGCATGGCCACACTTTATCTGACGGTCTCAGCACTGGGAGCTCACAGCACCGATGTGAGAATTATGAATCGTCTGTGCCACATGGTCCTCTTTGCCACTCGCTGTTCCCGAGCGACTGATGACCACTCCGTCTCCAGGTCTCATCGTCATCGCGGCGGAGCTGGGACTCAGCCTCCTGCCACCTCGGAAGAAAATCACCGTCATGATCCTGGGCAACCACTCGGCTGGGAAGAGCTCCTTCATTAACTGGTAAGACCACATTGTGCGTGTTGCAGTCTGGAGTGGCGTGGTGTCATGATGCTCAATGGTGACGATGCTCAACGTGTGTGTGTTTAGTGGTTCGCACACTGGGCTATAAACCCAGGCGACCCAAGTTTGATTCCCGCTCACGGCCGACACCTGTGGCGATAATCTGAACTGGTCCTGGGCCTCTCCTAGGTCGACTCAGCCTCAAACGAGTACCTGGTGCAGTGTGTAAACATCCCCACTGGGGAGACAAAGGCGGTCAAGCGTGGTGCTGGCCATTCACCCCCTTGTGTGCCGTGCCGGCCTTCGTAGGTGCTCCCTAACAGCACTTGCCCCAACAGTCTGTTAAGGCTATGCGGGGAATATTTGTCTTTGTCTTAGGTATGTAGAGGAGCACGTGCTGAGAACGGGCGTCGCCATCGAGACACAGGGATTCACATTCGTCACGAGTGGACGCAAGCGGGAGTCGCTCACTGTGAGTCTCGAAGTCCTCCTAAAAGTGACCTGCACGCTCAACAAACGCCATCTGCAGTGTGGACAAAGCAGCTCATGAGCCACAAGGGATGTTCTGCCCCAACAGTCTGTTGTAGGCCACACAGGGGATGTTTGTGTTTTTGATGAAATTCATTAAAAAAATATATATTTCGTGACTTGCTTATCTTTTTCTCTATGTTGCATACCTATCGTATTTTTGTATTGTTTATTCTTGTAACTTGCTGATCCGCCCCTACTGGACATCCGTGAAAAAGAGATTCATAGCTCATCAGATTCCTCCCCCCCCAGTCTAAACAAACATTACGATTCTGTGCTGTGTCTGCTGTAGGGAAATGCGACGCTGCACTTGTACCCGCACTTCAAGGCACTGCAGGAGATCAAAGGTGGGCTGCGTCGCCACTGTGGGCGCGATGACACCTCGGGGCCCGGTTCATTGGGTCGGTCGACCACTTGTGTGGCGATTTCCATCGAGCATCTCCCTCGCGGTCGTTGTTTATTTTGTGAAAGAATTTTGCGATGAAAATGTCACCACGAGTGGCCTCGAGCATCACGAGGCTTTGTCTGGACGATGCTTTGGACAGCCTGGTTTTGATGGTTAACGTATTTTCAGGATTAGCAGGATGCATCGGTTTTTTTTAAAGGAAAAAGTTTGGAGGGAAAGGGAGGTCTGGGCCGCCTTGCGCAATATGCTGCCGCCGCAACCCTCGCCAAGACAAGCGGATTGAGAAACAAACGAACGAACAATGTCTTTAAAAACAGCAACGCTACGCCTCTCTAAATAAAACTAACGCTAACCGCTTGCACGTTCCTAGATTCGGCGAAGAACAGGAAACCCACCCTGCCACTAGCAGACATCTTGAAACAGGAAAGGGTTCATAGTCCTATTGGTGTGTGGGTGACAATATTTGTTATTGACATCGGGCCCAGTCAGCAGCTTTATTACTTCAACCATCACCGTATTCTCTCGATTATAAAACACATTTTGTTTCCTCGCGTCCGCGCTATATTTAATACATTTATTTTTTACACCCTCGTTTTCTACTCCTGGAAAGTTTTTCTTAATGACCCCAAAGTTTTGGGTGTCTTACTTTATGGAGCAGCTTATAACCTGGGGAATATGGTAAATATGTCAATGTAAGCATGCTATCTGGCTTGGTCTGGGGGAACTGCCCGGTTTGGACATTAGTGGGCATTAAAACCCACCTATTGAGGATTTAGCTGAATATGTAAATGCCGTTATTATTGTTATTCGGATAACTCGACTCTTCGTAACACCTAGTGATGTCTCGGGTGTAGGGCGCGGGTTGCCGAGTGATGGGCTTGTGGTTTCTCGTGTGCTTCGCACACACAGGCGTGACCGAATACCTGGGTACCGAGATCTCCACTTCCAAGCAGAAGAAGTTCAGCCTTGTGACGTTCATCGACACACCGGGCCTGGTGGACGGGGACATGAAGTATCCCTTTGACGTTGACAGCACCATCCATTGGCTCGGTACTGAGCCGTGTTTACTGATATAACCAATGAACTGCACTGTTATTTCTGCAGCTGTGCACTGCACTGATTTTCTAGTACCGGCGTATTGCACGGTTGGCTAGGTACGCAGCGAAATAATTTCAACATACATACATACATGGTAGCTGCATATTGCACAGCGTTATTGCATTGTGTGTACCCATGTATTGCATTGCTTCATTTATATTTGTATCTACTACACCTATTGGTGTACATAGGTGCTGGATTATGTTATTGGTGTATTCTGTAGTCGTCGCATTCTTATTTGTTTCCAAACCACCTGGTTTGGCCAGGACATTGCCGGTTTTCTATAGCGAAAAACTTTGAATAGAAACACATCTCACATTACAATTGAACTTATATCGGAACATCTTCTCGAGAGTTATTCTGATTCCGTTGCTAGCTAAATAGCCGGACGGACTGATGGACAGAGCTACAACTCAACCTTAGTTGGAAAGCATGAAAAACGAGAGGTGACCAGAACAGAAGTGATGCTTATGGGAACGGACAGGAACAGGATGCATGATTTTAGAGGCTCGTGGGACAGGACCGGGTGGGATTTGAGCCCATGGGAACGGTGGATATAAAAAATGAGAAGAAAATGTTTCTACGCTGACGTGCATGCCCACCCCCACAGTATGTGTGCGGTACTGCACACATGCCTTTTGGCGATCAATTCATGACACGGTTCAATGAAATGTCACAATTCGGTGTCGTGATTTAATTCAAGAATTGATCGCTCTTGGTGAAATGTTATACGTCTCTGTGTTTTTGTCTATTTCATGCGCTACGCTATCACGTTCACGCGCTGCATTGCAACGTTCAGCTCATCTCGTGCGCTTATTTTTTTTTTCTTCGAGAGGAACATCGCACGAACTAAATGACTCCCCCACGGTCGTCATTAAGGCACTCGCACTGTGGGACATGTTAACATTTTGAGCGCATTGTAACTAATTTCTTCCGTCATGATAATGGCAATTATAATAAACACTGGCTTCTTCATCGTCATTTGCCATGATCAGGGGTGGGCAGCTGTGGCTCCGGAGCCGCATACGGCTCTTTAAGAACTGCTTCGTGAAGTTATTTATTAAGGACCACCGTCCTGTATTCACGTGCATCTCAGCTCTTGAAATATTGAGTATTTGACCGAATTTGAAAAAAATAGCTCTTGTTACTTTGGTTGCCGACCCCTGGCCGCGACCTATCCACGGATGAATGAAGGCCTCCCCACGTCACCGTCTCTTAACGGTCACGCGATGCCCGCGGATCCATCTTGCTTCAGCACGCGAGCTGGCCTCATCACTCGGCCTCCTCAATGGTGATCCTCCGAGTTGTGATCCCTTATTTCACTCTAATTCCATCACGAGCCTCAACCATCAAACACCGTCCTGCCCAAGCCCACTTGATCAACACGGCGTTAGAGTGTTTGATCCCTGTATTCCTTTTTATCTCGGTCTTATTCCCAGCACGCATCTCTAAATACTTTCGTGCAAACTCTTTTGCCTTAGTTTCATTATCTTTGTGTCTATGTTTCTGATGAATGTGTCATATTGTCCATGGCACAGCTCCCCAATGAAGGCAGCTGCAGTGTTGAATGCAAGATGAATATAAGCAAAGCAAACGTCGTGTTCTGGAATGTTGTCCCAAATAACTTGTGAAGCCACATGAATCTCAAACACAGCAGAACATGTATATGAGTTGGGTGGTTATTGAAGGCGGATAGGCATCACAACGGTACCATATGGAGCCAAGCGAGCAGAGTAGAATGGTGTTTGAAAAAAAAAATCATAAAAACTCAGTTTGACCATCGTGCGTTGCGAAGAATGTTTTCAATGATTAAAATTGTCTCTCAGGTGGCTTCAAATACTGTTTCACTGCTCTGTAGATTGTTTATTTCGAGTGTACCGGCTGATGGACTGACCGATTGGTTGAATGTCGTTATTCTCCAGGTGAGCTGGCAGACCTAATATTCGTGTTTTTCGACCCGATGGGCCAGGCGCTCTGCAAGAGAACGCTCAACATCGTGGAGCGACTCAACGAGCACCAGGGCGACAAACTGCGCTTCTTCCTGAGCAAGGCAGACGAGGCGGGCACCGAGATCGACCGCCAGGTGTGGCCCCACACAGCTGGCACCGTGCACGCTCTGGTCGTGTCCACGGTTATCCCAGTCGGTCCCCAAGCGTTCCCCCTTTGCACACTGTGAAGGGCAGTGGCACCACGGTGCCGAGATGTTAACTACCTCACTTGGAATACAGGAGGTCATGGGTTCGATCCCAACCATGACGATGCCTGTATATTTGGAGTTTGCATGTTCTCCCAGTGGTCGCCTGGATTTTTCTCAAGGTCCTCCAGTTTTTCCGTCCACATTTAGAAACAACATGCGTTTAAGAGTATTTGGCAGCTATAAATGTCCACGTGATACACCTCTTCATTGAGCTATCATTTGTGGTCAGGTCGCTTCTGAAATAAATAGTTTAATTACTTCTGCAAGTTTGACCACCAGTACTTCCTCATCTGAAAAAATATTTTTTCAAGGACTCTATGAATGTTTTGACAAACTGTACAACTTCCAATAGTCCGAGTTGATGTGTGGGGACTACATCGCAGTTCTTGTAATCCGTGGTGCACCGCAGAGGTTTGACCAAATAATCCGTGACGACGCGGTGTGCTGCCGACTATGGGAGGAAAGATTCGCGCGATTCCATTAATCTGCTAACAATTTTGGATTACAGGAGAATGGCAGCACATGGCTAGCCGCTAAATTAATCCGCATTAAATAAACGTATTCCGAGGTTATGAGTTTTTCTAAGACCCCATATTGCATATCTCTGCCATATGGGTCTATCGTGATAAAGGGATATTTATATTTTTTTCGACGTGACAAGTCTAAAAAAAAATGCTAAAATATCTTTCTACGAAACACTTCACATCAGCACAGCTAGACTTTCCAGATGCTATTCCAAAAAAATTAAACTGTTAGATAAAAATCTTACCCATAGGTTTCCTTGCAGCTCTGCCTCTGCAGCTCTGCGTTAGCCCTACCCACTCGTACGAAGCGCGGTTTGCAGTCTGCAAAGTGTTTTCAATCCGCCGCAGTGCGCCGCGCATTATGGGAGCAGTTGCGGACGGTCAAAAAATGTGCGAATTTTTTAGTTTTCCGGATTGTACTGCAGATGGCAGAGTGAATCTCTTCTGTATATGGATGTAGCAGGGAAGGATCCGCATCAGTGGATATTTCTCTATGTGAGAAGTGTTAATGGCTCTATTGTGTACCCTGGTCAGAATTCATGCCTTGGCATAGCTCTCCTTTTTTATCTTCTTCTGAACTGTGGCAGGAGGGTCAGGTGGGAGCTAAGTATTGTGGCAGTTTTCTGACGACCTCCGTGGTGTCCACATTCACTCTCATACCTGTACGGATGTAACCCTCGGAGCTGGCTAAGGCTGAGTGAGGTACGCAGCTGCCGTGTGAAGTTTCCAGTCTTTTAACAAAACGCGTTCGTGTTGTCTCTCTGCAGCGTGTCATGATGCAGATTGTGCAAGAGCTGTGCAAGCGGCCAGGCCTGAACAAGTGTGGCTTCGACATGCCCACCATCTACATCCCCAACCCCAACCGGGTGAGCCCCGCTATCCCGCGCACATACCATCCAACCCCCCTTCAGTGACATCGAGTGTCATTCGGGGGAGTCCCCAAAAACCCGGGAGGTCAAGTGGAGGTGACATTGCCTGGTGGTAGCACGTTCGCCGCTTTGTGGCCGTTCGATTGACGGTTAGATTCTGGCAGGCCGCCCTGGTTAATACTGCGGGTGTACGGATCCGTATAAATACGCGCCATCTACTGCACATTGGACCTTTAAGAGCCAGGGACGTTATTTGCCGGTGTCATGGTACAGATTTTTCAAATTTCTAAATATTACTCATATTACTCTAGCAACATTGCCCCTACTGTGCAGTTTATGTGAAAGACAGCACCTTCATGACAGCCTTGTTCTATGAGAATGGAATGATTACCAAATTAATGATATACTATTCCTGCCTGAACACAATCTCAATTTCATGCTTTCTTGCTCGTATTTGTCTGTGCTTTATGATTTTCACTGTATGGTTCAATAACGTTCCTGGTTACAGTGTTTCTAGACTCAGCAGTTGGTATTGAAAGGCCATGGGTGAGTGAGTGGTATCGTTATATGCTATTTGTATGCATCTATGTGTGAGTACTCATGTATGTGTTTGTTTGGCCCTGCTTGACTCCAAGACAGATTCAAATACCTACTTGTGAGGCCAGAGTAGCACGGTTCGGTTCCGGCTGAGTATGGCAGTCAGTGGAAAACCAGCCATCCCGTGAGAGCTCGCGAATGTGCCAGTGTTAACTGCTACAACTGTTTTAGGCTGTTCGTCCTTGTAGAAGAGCTGCTTAGCTCATTGGGCATCACCGGCTGAAATAATGAAGTCTCGAGTCGGATCTTTGTTCACCGTCGGCGGCGCGCGGTGAAGGCGAGCCGCTGTGTCAATCAGATGGAGGACGTGTGCCGCACGATTGAGAAGACCATCGACCAGATGGTGCAGACGACGCTGAACACGCTGGAGAGGGACTGCGACGTCATCGCGCTTCACGTCACGCAGAAGCTCGCGGACGACAGGTCCGCTTCGTGGGCGCGTGGCGGTTGGGTTGGGGGGTGGGGGGATATGCAAACCATTTGTTTTTTGCGCCTCTTGCGCGTGCGCGTTTGTGCGTGCGTCACACGGTCCGCGCGTGTGCGCGTGCAGCGAGGCGCGGCAGCATAACCGAACGGCGTGGGTCCGCGGGCTGCTGTACGGGCTGCTGGCGCTGGTGCTGCCACTGTCGCTGCTGGCCGACTTGCTTCACAATTCGCTCGAGTACGGCACCATCGAGGCGGCGCTGGGGCCCAACCTCACCGAGCTGCTCTACGTGATCTCGGTAAGGGCACCAGGCCAGCACCACACCTTCGCTGGTGGTGATGATTTCCCACCACCAATGAAGAGCAACTATTATGGATTGAGTTCTTAAGTGATTGAGCTAAAGATTTGCTTTGTCTGAGAGTTGATAAATTGCAGATTCACCCACCCACCAAATTTACATTTATGTTTGGGAGAGTGCGAAGTTATACGGTCCATGTTTTGGTGTTTGTAGCTACAGTTGCTTTCAGGAGAGGCTTTTACCTTCCACCGGTATTGTGTCAGCATCACGCCGATAGCTGCTGTGTGTCAACACTCTTGGCACAGTGCTAGTGTTACATTCGCATTGGCAACACATTGGTACCGTGTCAATATTGTATTGGTGTATGTCTATGTATGTCTGTATATGTTTGTGTGTGTGACTCCCCCTAGGTAAACTTAGCTCTCAATAAGTATTTGTAGCAGAGTGTAAACATCAACACTGGGACGACGACAGAAGCCGGGCACGGTGCTGGCCACACCTTCTTGTGCTCCGTGCCAAGCTCAAAAGGTGCTCACGAGCGGCACTTTCCACCAAGAGTCTCTAGTGCTACATGACGGATGTGTGTGTATGTGTGCGTGTGTATGTGTGCGCGTGGAGGTCCCGGCGACCCAAGTTCGATTCCCGCTCATGGCCAAGACCAGTGACAATTATTTGAACCGGTCCTGGGCCTCCCCTAGGTCGACTCAGCCTCAAATGAGTACTTGGTGCAATGTGTAAATCTTGCCGCAAGGGAGACAAAAGGCAGCCGGGCATCGTGCTGGCCACCCACCCGCTCATGTGTCACAGTGGTGGCTTTCATAGGTGCTGCTCGCTAACATTACTTGCTTCAACAGTCTCTGAAGGCTATACAGAGGATCTTTGTCTCTGTTTTTTGAGGTGCCGTTTAACCTGCTGTGGAACGTGGTCCCCGAGGAGAGCCACTCCACGGCCTTCCTCGTCGTGCTGGGGCTCACAGCCATCCTCTTCTATCTGGCCAAGATGCCCAGGTGTGTACGGTGTGCGGGAGCGCACGGGAGTATGCGGGACAGTGCGAGACGCAGGAAATGGCTGCGACACGCGGGACGATGCTGCGTGGGGAACCTCAGGCACACATGGGAGATATCTAATGACACATGGGGCACGGGGGTCTGTGGGCAAACAGGGACACAAGCCACATCCGCAACACGCAGGACACAATGGTGGTGATACGTGGTAGGGCATTCGCCACTTGTTGTAGACGTTCGCATTTCTATCAAACTATAAACTAACTATAAACTAAACTAAAAACTATTAAACTATTTTTTATTTTTACCAGGTAAGGCCCACTGAGCTATATAGCTCTTTTTCAGAAGTGATCTGGCCACAAATAATAGCTCAAAGAAATGGCTTATCATCATTTGGACATTTATCGCAGCCATTTACGCTAAACGCATGTTGATTCTAAATGTGGAGGGGAAAACCAGAAGATCCGGAGAAAGATCCACACGATCACTGGAAGAACATGCATACTTCAAATATAGAGGCATCTGGGTCGAACCCACAGCCTTCTATGTACCTCTCGCCACCATGGTTATAATCTGGCAGGCTGCCCTGGTTGTAACTGCGGGTGTTGCAACTGTAAAGTATACACGGTCTGCCTCGCAGTGGAAGTTTAAGGTCCCATTACATCATTTGAAATGACTAGTTCCATTGTATGTCAGCGTCGTGGTCCAAATTTGCCAAATTCTTAAAATTATCTGTAAATTACTTAATTGGGATTACACGTGGCAATATCGCTCCATGCAGTGAAACCACTGCAGCATGTGTGTCTGTGAAACATTGGAGTGCTTTCCTTTGTGATGGCAATTTTAATGCCAACACTAAACTAGCTATTTTACCATTATAATTCTTACAGGAAGCACAGGACACGTGGGGATACCTGGGACACGTGGGGTTGCCTGGGACACGTGGGGTACCTGGGACACGTGGGATACCTGGGATACCTGAGATACCTGGGACACGTGGGGTACCTGGGACACGTGGGATACCTGGGACACGTGGGATACCTGGGACACGTGGGGTACCTGGGATACCTGAGATACCTGGGACACGTGGGGTACCTGGGATACCTGAGATACCTGGGACACGTGGGATACCTGGGACACGTGGGATACCTGGGACACGTGGGACACGTGGGATACCTGGGACACGTGGGGTACCTGGGATACCTGGGGTACCTGGGACACGTGGGACACGTGGGATACCTGGGACACGTGGGACACGTGGGATACCTGGGACCCATAGAACACGTGGTACCTGGGACACGTGGGGTACCTGGGACACGTGGGACACCTGGGACACGTGGGATACCTGGGACACGTGGGATACCTGGGACACGGGGGATACCTGGGACACGTGGGGTACCTGGGATACCTGGGACACGTGGGACACGTGGGATACCTGGGACACTTGGGGTACCTGGGACACGTGGGATACCTGGGACCCATAGAACACGTGGGTATCGAGGAGATGTGAATTTGTGCATCACAGGATGCCCAGAACGTGTGGTTGTCAGGAAATGTCAAAGCATGGGACAAATGCAACACAAGAAATACCTGGGAGATCGGATGCGCATGATACACAGGATGTACAGTAGTTTTTTTTTATATTTGGAACATGGGCTTGACACATGTACATACACTGGCATTGATGTTAATCGTGGTTATGGTGGTGTGGTGTTGATGATGTTGAAAGTTATGATGGTCATGATAATGGTTATGGTACTGGTGATGTCATTGATGTGATGATGACAATAATGGCAATGACCGCTATTGTGGAGTTGATAGTGATGTAAATGGTGGTGGTTCAAGTGGGTTATGGTGTTGTTGATGGCGGTGGTTTTTTTGGTGGTGGTGGAGGTGGTGATGGCACTGGGTGGTGGTGCAGCATGAATGACAGTAATGATGATGACGATTACAATTGCGGCTGTAGTGACGACACCATCGTTGCGTTTCTGGTGCAGGACGAGGTCTGTCCTCACCAAGAAAGGGAAGCGCCAGCTGCTGGAGATCCACGAGTACGTGCGGGAGGTGGTGAAGCCAAGGAAGGTGTGTGCGCTAACCCCGCTGCCGTCTGCGCTGCTCAGACCCATCACTCATAGAGCCGGGACGTCCAATTGCTCGATTATTAGTTCTCTTACTCGCTGGACAGGAGGGTGCCACAGTGGCGAGATGTAGAGGCCGACCGAAACTGAATTTCTGGTTTCGGCCGAAACCGAAGCCGAAACCGAAAGTTTAACTTCACTTTCGGTTTCGGCCGAAACCGAAGCCGAAACCGAAAGTTTAACTTCACTTTCGACCGAGACCGGAACAGAAAGGTATATAACCGAAGTTACCGAACACAAGATTTATGAAATATGTCATAATGCAATGCTACTTTAATTAAAAATAAATCTAGAACTAATCATTCAGAGCCTGCAGTAAAAGTCGCTAAATATCAAATCTTTAGGTGTTACTTACTTAGTAATTATATCCAAACAAACGAATGTTGTAGTTAAGAAACAATAGTTTTTCCGCATTCAGCCAGACAGGCTGCCGTCTGTTGACCGGTCGTATAGCAGACCATGGTTGCTGCTGTAACCTCGCTCCCAAGCTGCTGCTGATGTGTGTGTGTTTGTGTGTGTGCAGCCTATCGCATAGGATTGCCTAGCGCCGACTGACCGGCCGATAGGCAGAGTGATAGACGTAGCACTAGCGCTATATTCTAAAAATAGATCTTCAATTGACGAATGACGACCGAAAGTCAATAACAGTTTCGGCCGAAACCGAAACCAGACCAAAAGTTAAAAATTTACTTTCGGCCGAAACCGAAAGTATACCGAAAGTTTGCCGAAAGAGACCATATGCCAACTTTCGACGCCGAAACCGAAACCGAATTTCGGTCGGCCTCTAGCGAGATGTTAACTACCTCGCCTAGTACTGTTGAACGCATATCCCGTGGTGGTTGTCACGCAAATTACGCTACTGAGTCACGTGACCCCGACCAGGTGACAACACGATGTACGCTGGGATATCACCCCGTGACAGTCTGTTTATCCTGCACGTGGAGGGGAATTGTCAAACCTTATGTTATCTAAATCTTGATTTATGTAGCGCCTTTTCGACAGCGCTTAACAGCAATTAAAATAATTGTACATGAGATGATAACGGTTTAAGATGAAGAATGGGGTTATTACAAGTGGTGGTGTCATGTTAGCGATGGTAGAACAGGCGGGGGGAGTGTTAAGGAGGGGTTGGGGTAGTCCTGGTCGTAGCTGAGGGGTAACGGAAAGCTGGGGGAAGGAAAATTATTGTGGCATCGCATTGGGAAGACAAAGGAGTTCAGCCAGGGGCGGGAGCCAGATTGGGGTAGATGGCTGCCATGTGACAATCTACCTATAACACAATAGATTACACTCACTCTGCATATGTATTGCATTTACATACGTAGGTTCAGCCATATAATTTTCATGTCAATTAAGGGCAGTCTTTTGTAGTCACGTTGAGATCTTTCTTATGTCATGGGGTGGGGAGGAATCCAATACACCCCACAACGTGCCCTGAAGCTGAAAGCCCAAATGAGATAATGAACAAATAAATTCCACTGACGACGTCCCTCTTGTAGGGGATCTGAGAGTGGCTGCTTGCCTTGGTAACTGCTCCAGGCTCACAGGTGCTCGCGAGGAAAGCAGGGGAACCATCGGCGGGTGCTCGCATTGCAGTCCAACGGCAGGTCCCTGCATGTCCTGGCAGGAGTCTTGCCGAACCATGAGTTTGGCTGAATAGAAAACGCCTTTGGAATGTGTGGTTGTGGGGGTTGTGAACCGCGACATTAGGGAGGCGCTTGGCCAATGAAAATCGCGTCTCTTTTCTTTACGAGGCCGCTTTTTCCCTCTAGGACAGTGCTTTTCACAAACAGCAAAACTTGGCATCCACTCTGCACATTCGCGAACCTCACCTCAAACCCAAACAATGTTGGGCTGTTGGGTGGACGTATAGATCGGTCAGCGTCCACGCCACGACTCGGCCGCTTTGTGAGCAATCCTTGGTGTGCAATCTCACTGTAGCCACGCTGGATTTTTAAAACCTGGGAATGACCGACTTGAGGTTTGCTGCAAAGTGGATGTTAATGATCCCTTGTAAACATTCACGACAATAGACTGTTGAGTGCTGGCAGCACGGCTCAAGCACCAGCTTTAAATGTACGTGAAACTTCTGTATGTAATCAGTATGGAGTTTGTATGTTCTCCCTGTGGTCGTGTAGATTTTTTTATCTGGGTCCTCCGGTTTTTCCCTCCACATTTAGAAACATGCATTGAGATTTTTTTGATGATTTTGCTGCTATGAATGTCTAAATCATAAGCCACTTTGTTGAGCTATCGTTTGTGGCCAGGTCGCGTCTGAAAAATAAGTGAATATCTGGGCTTTGTCTGGTAGGAAGGGGATGGTTTAGTTGTATTTGTTTGGGTGATTTGTTTACCTTTCTTGTACTTGCACTACTATCTTGTTTTTGTATTGTTTGTTGTAACAAACAATCTAAATTATCTGCCTTCAACCTGCACGAACCAGCGTATTGTTTGTTGTAACGTTCCTACCCCGTGCCCCTATTGGACATCTGTGAAAATAGTTTTATAGCTTATCGGATTTCTCCAGTATAAAGAAATATTTTTACTCTGATGTGCAGTCACATCACGGAAATTCAATATCAATGGGCCATCCCCCGGCTAAAATGTCATGGAGCTGGGTGAACTAAGAACTTCAACACCTTGGACATTAGCACCGCAGCATCGTGCAGCCTGCTCAGCAAAAGAGCCTTTTAATACTTCTATTTTATTACCAAAAATTCACCAACACGGCATGTTACATTTATGTTTTCCTGTCCCAAGTTGAATGGCCCCATGGTGTTCTTTGAGTGCTCCTGCCTCTGAACACCATGCAAGCCAGCAGTATTTTTTGACTCAGGATGTTGAAACCCATCCAGAGTTTGTTGCTTAGGCAATACGGCCGGACAATATCGGTCCGGAAGGCTCATAGACTGATGGATTTAATTTATACAGTGAAACCTTGGATTGCGAGTAACTTGGTCTGCGAGTGTTTAGCAAGACGAGCAAATTTTTTAAATAAATAATAATTTGATAAACGAACGAGGTCTTGCAATACGAGTAGTATGTATACGCTTTGTCTGCCGAGCCTCACGTGATCACAGCTGATATACGAGTGCTTTGGATTACAAACACGTTTCCGGAACTAATTATGCTCGCAATCCAAGGTTTTACTGTATTGGCATTTCTGGTGGTGAAATAGACCCCTCTGTCCATCCGTTTTTCTGTCATCTTCATCGCTGATAAGCCACCAGGATGGCGCATTGTAATTTGGGTACAATGTAGCAGAATAATCAGGATTGTAGGTGTCTCCCCCTCCCCCCCCCCCGGGGTGAGGTGGGAGGGTTAGGGTCGTCCTGACCGCAGCGAATTGACAGCTGCTGTGGAGAGAGCTCACAGTTGGGGGGACTGTGCGGAGAGGGGACCCCCTGGGATGTTGCTGCGCCGCTCTCCATTGGGCGTCCGTGGCCACGCTTAACGTTCTAGCCAGCGACCCCTGATGTGCGAAACACTTGCCTACGTTCTGTTTGTTAATTCTCATAGTGCTCATCGGCAAATCGCCCGGAATGTGGCCAACCTCGTCAGGTCTCGGAAGATAAGCTGGATTAAGCCAAAATAGTTATTGGGATGGGCTGACACCGTGTGTGGTCGGCGTTATAAGCTGCAGGGCTTGATTGTGGGCAACAGAGGGCAGTGCAGCATAATCCATTGCACTGCGTTTACTTCCACGTGTCAGCTGTCTGCCTTGAACCCGCACGAACCAGCGTGACGAAGCAGTGTAAAGTAACCCTCAGCATGGGAAGGCACCTCATCCAGCAGTGGATTTACAAAAGGGGTTGCGACATGTACACGGGAGTATTTGTTTTTGCTTGTACAGCACTACCAATGCGTTGAGGCCGATTGGCTTTAGTGTGGTCACATGGTAGTATTTATTTGCACAAATGTGACGATTGAAACCAATCAGAAGGCTTGCTGATTGTGCCTTTTTATTAGGCGACTCTTTTCTCCATTCTCCACCGGAGTTGGCTGCTGTGGCTTCCCAAAGTTCGCATCCCACCGTTGTCTCCCGCAGCATGGCTTGCAAGGCCCAGTCCTCTTCACTTTCATTCATTAAGGACACTTAAAATACCCTCTTAGTATTCCATTAACAAATGTTACTGTTGTTAATTGGGAAGTCGTCATTGCACAAGAATTTAATTTCAGTCAGGGGTGAGATGTTAACTCCCCCGCCTTGTATACAGGAGGTCATGGGTTCGATCCGGATCCTGACGCCTGCTGTATATTTAGAAGGGGGTCTTATTTTTCTCCGTGCTTGCATCTTTAGATGCAAATGTTGTGGCATTATGGCTATCCCAATACAGTTCCAGCTGGCGTCGTGTGGTACACGACCTGCTTTGTTTCGTTTCGGTCTCCCATAGGTTGACTCAGCTCAAATTAGTATTGCCTGGTGCGTAGTGAAGAGCACGAAGAAATTCGGTCGTGTGACATTAATTAAATATAATCACCACTATACGTATTAATGTGGCTCTGACGTCGTGAAGGGAGTCTGCTGTGTTGTGATGGCTGAAGGTTGCGTTGGTCTCGGCTGTGCGATTCTCTAACCCGCGCATGTTGTGTTGCAGAGAGAGCTGTACAGGGAGTACTTGAAGCAGAGTGTTGGAGAGCAAGACATGGACTGAAGCCTCACCACTTGCACCATTCTGACACTTAGTACTTCCTTTTAGCCAGAAAGTCCTGAATGCTGTTCCGAGAATTATTTTCGCATGCTACATCCATCTCGCCTCGTTTCATCCTACACCAGTTCGTAAGCTTAAATTGATATATATTTCAATAAGTTAGTATTATGGATCGGCCTAGTGGTTAGTGGTAGTGCCTTAAGCCGGTAATCCCTACTCCATTTCAGCCGAGCAGCTCTCCGAGAAATACGACTTGAGAAATGTAACGTTGCGGAAGGATACCCGCTCAGCGCGTCTCTGTTATATTTGAGCCCCTTGTTAGTAAGTGCTTGACTACCCTCACCTACTACCGCCCCTGTGTATCACTGTGTGTGTGCTTTCAGTTGAATCTCATTTGTATTGTCAAAAGCCCTAGTACATGACACTGGATTCTTTAAAAAAAATCGAAACCACGCTAAATCTTTGTTGTCGCTGTCGTCACCGCCGAGTCGCCACAAGTGGGCGATGAAACAGCACTCGCTCGCTCATCCACCACGTGTCCCCGATACATTCCGCCCGCGGTCACGTGCGCGAGGGGCCGCCACGTGGGGACGCGCCGATGACGTCATCTCGCACGTGGGGTAGGTGGGGTTATCGCACGTGCGCCCGTGACGTCATAGTTTTGAGTCGCGGACGTCACGAGGCTGCCGCATTGTCGCCGAGCCGTTTTGATTCGTTCACGCGAACACAATAGAAAGGCGCTTGCGCCGCGATGTTGTGGTTGCGGTTTGGCGAAAGGGGGGCTGCGCTCGCCGCGTGCGGCAAAGCCGCCCCCCGTCAGGCGTCTCTTAAGGCGCGGGACGGAGAAAAGGTCCCGCGGATAATTTTTCAATTAGCTCCAAGCGAGCTTTTGGCGCGCCCATGTTGGGTGAGGGGCGGGCGCCCTCGAGTCGGCTGGGGGTTGCGTGACGTCACTAAGATGCGCAGCAGCCCTCCCCCCCCCCGCACGGCAGCCCCCCCCCCCGCACAGCAGCCCCCCCCCACGGCAGCCCCCCCCAACGGCAGCCCCCCCCCCAACGGCAGCCCCCCCACGGCAGCCCCCCCACGGCCACCCCTCGCACGTCCACGGAGCGGCACCTCAACTCCTTTAGCAACATGGCCACCGCGGGCGTCGGTGGTCGCGCTCTGGCGACGTCACGCCCGTTTAGAACTCGCAGGCTGGATGGGCGCAGGCAGCGGCGTGTGATTGGTCGCGGCGTGGATGGGGGGGGGATCACGTGGTGCGGGAGGGCGGGGTCACGTGTGTGGGGGGTTGGAGGAGGAGGAGGAGCAGAGGGAGCGAGATGGCGGCTGCGGCGAGCTGCTCGGGCGTTCCGCTCCCGGCCGCGGCGACCGCGACCACCGCGGACGGCAGAGAACTCTCCGAGCGCCTCGCACGCCTCTATCCGGCGGTGGACGAGGCCGAGAACCCCCTGCCGCGCTCATGGAGCCCCAAGGACAAGTTCAGCTACATCGGCCTCTCGCAGAATAACCTTCGCGTTCACTACAAAGGTGCCGGGTGGCGCGGCCCGGGCGGGGCCCTCTTCCCCCCGTGTCTCTCTGTGTCTCTCTGTGTCCCCGTGTCTCTCTGTGTCCCCGTGTCTCTCCGTGTCCCCGTGTCTCCCTGTGTCTCTCTATGTCCCCGTGTCTCTCTGTGTCTCTCTGTCCCCGTGTCTCTCTGTGTCCCCGTGTCTCCCTGTGTCTCTCTGTGTCCCCGTGTCTCTCTGTGTCCCCGTGTCTCTCTGTGTCTCTCCGTGTCTCTCCGTGTCTCTCTGCGTCCCCGTGTCTCTCTGTGTCTCTCTGTGTCCCCGTGTCTCTCTGTGTCTCTCTGTGTCCCCGTGTCTCTCTGTGTCCCCGTGTCTCTCTGTGTCTCTCTGTGTCCCCGTGTCTCTCCGTGTCTCTCTGTGTCTCTCTGTCCCCGTGTCTCTCTGTGTCCCCGTGTCTCTGTGTCCCCGTGTCTCTCTGTGTCCCCGTGTCTCTCTGTGTCCCCGTGTCTCCCTGTGTCTCTCTGTGTCTCTCTGTGTCCCCGTGTCTCTCTGTGTCTCTCTGTGTCTCTCTGTGTCCCCGTGTCTCTCTGTGTCTCTCCGTGTCTCTCTGTGTCCCCGTGTCTCTCTGTGTCTCTCTGTGTCTCTCCGTGTCTCTCTGTGTCTCTCTGTGTCCCCGTGTCTCTCCGTGTCTCCATGTCCCCGTGTCCCCTAATCCGTGGCAACCTTTGTGCCCCGTATCTTACGGCCGTCTCCGCACCCCCTGTGTCTCTGCGTCCCCTGTGTCTCTGCGTGTCTGTGTCTCTGCGTCCCCTGTGTCTCTTGCGTGTCTGTGTCTCTGCGTGTCTGTGTCTCTGCGTGTCTGTGTCTCTGCGTGTCTGTGTCTCTTGCGTGTCTGTGTCTCTTGCGTGTCTGTGTCTCTTGCGTGTCTGTGTCTCTTGCGTGTCTGTGTCTCTGCGTGCCCTGTGTCTCTGCGTCCCCTGTGTCTCTGCGTGTCTGTGTCTCTGCGTGTCTGTCTCATGCGTCCATCCGTCTCCCTCGTTTCCCCTTTGCTTCACCGCGCGTCTGATCATCTCCGGTTGTGTGTATCTCGTGATTTCGCGTGTCTCATTGTCTCTCTTCACGTGTCCCCGTGTATCTCCGACGCTGTCTCCCAGCCCCCCAGTTCTCCAAATATGTACTTGGTTTTTGCGGATCTTATTTCCCCGCCATGGCTTTGTCTTCATCCCCACTTGTCTAACCCCCTCCTGTTTACGGCTCTCACACAGTCTTTGCCCGCACATCGTCCATTTATTTCCGTCATCACTTTTGCCTCCACGTTTTTTAATCACCATTCTCGTCTCCGTACATCCTGCACCCCCCCCCCCCCCGGCTGTCCATCTCGCTCTGTCTCCGTGTCTCTCTCTTAGCCCATCATCCTCGCCTCGTCTCCCCCCGCCCCGGGTTGTACCGCAGCTACGCGGCCTTCGGCTGTCTCCCTCCCCCGTCTCTCCCTGTCGCATCCTCGTACGCCTCTCTCGTCTCCCTGCTCGACTCTTTTGTCTCGCTACGTGTCTATACAGTGCAGCACACTGTATTCTTTGTCTCGCGTCGCCCTTTCCCTCTCCATGTTCCCGTTCTGCCTCGTCCCCAGCTCTCTCGCTCGCTCTCTCCCGCTGCCTTCCGCCTTTGTCTCGGAGTCCGCGTCTCAGTTTCTCTCTGCGGCTCTCTCTCTCTGCCTGACCGCATCCCTTTCCGTGCCATCGCCCTTCTCTCTCTCTCCACGTCTCTCTCTCCACGTCTCTCTCTCTCTTCACGTCTCTCTCTTCACGTCTCTCTCTCTCCACGTCTCTCTCTCTCTCCACGTCTCTCTCTCTCTCCACGTCTCTCTACGTCTCTCTCTCCACGTCTCTCTCCACGTCTCTCTCTCTCTCTCCACGTCTCTCTCTCTCCACGTCTCTCTCTCTCTCCACGTATCTCTCTCTCCACGTCTCTCTCTCTCTCTCCACGTCTCTCTCTCCACGTATCTCTCTCTCCACGTCTCTCTCTCTCCACGTCTCTCTCTCTCTCCACGTCTCTCTACACGTCTCTCTCCACGTCTGTCTCTCTCCACGTCTCTCTCTCTCCACGTCTCTCTCTCTCTCCACGTCTCTCTCTCTCTCCACGTCTCTCTCTCTCCACGTCTCTCTCTCTCCACGTCTCTCTCTCTCCACGTCTCTCTTTCACTCAGGCCATCTCCCCCCGTCCGTCCTGGCTCTCTCTTCCATCTCCTGCCCTGCACCGTTCACCCCCAATTCCATCACTTCTTCCCAACGCCATGCACTGCCGTCAGCATCTTCATCATCCCCTTCGCCACCACCAACCGTCATGCCTGTGTCCTCCTCGTCGTCCTCCTCGTTATAACGTCAGTACATCAACGTTTGATATTCATCGTGCGTTTCAACCACTCACGTCGATATTTTCATTATCGCCACGGTCGTGACTTAAATGCATCGCCATCGTCAACTTGACGCACGTATTTGTACATCAATTATCATCTCCATCATCATCACCATCTCCATCATCATCGCCATCATCATCGTCGTCGTCGCCGCCTGGGTCTGTGACTGATTCCGGCCGCAGAGACCTCGCTGTTTGCTGACGATGCAGCCGCAGCTGGTGCTGGTGGTGGTTGTTGTTAGCGGTTGATGTGGTGGTTGTTGTTGTTGCTGTGGCTATTGTCATGAAGTTGTTGTCGCCCGCTTATTGTAGTCGTGTTCGTTGGTGTCTCCTTGCGATTATTTGTAGTTTCAGCTGTGCTGTTACAGTGTCATAATTGTGGGTATTGTCACGGTTGTCATTTTGGTTCAAGTTGTACACACGGGGGCTGTGGTGTTGTTGTTGTTGTTGTGATTATCGTTATCGATTGGTGTCTGCCATGCCCGTTGTGGGTTATGATGGTAAAGGTTATTGTTGTCAATGTTGTTATGGTTGTGATGCGATTGTTTTGTGTGTGCAATGGTTGTAATGTGCGTGTTGATGTAATGGTTGTGGTTTGTATTATGTCATGGACGTAATGGTGGTTGTTTCGTGGTTGATGATGTAATGGTGGTTGTTATGCTGTGGTTGTGGATGATGTAATGGTTTTGTGGTGATTGTGATGGTCGTGCTTACGTGGTTGGTGTAACGGTTGATGTAGTAGTTGTGCTGTTCGTTGTGGTTATGATATGTCAGTTTTAATTGTGGTTGTAGCTATTTTCCAGTGCGTGGTGGTGGTGTTGTTTTGATTGTTAGGCTATTGTTGTTAGTCGAGGTGGCTTTTGTTGTGCCAAGCGGCTTTCAGTCGCCACCCAGCAGTGAGCCAGCCCACGTTCATGTCGTCGCGTTTAATGTCCTGGCGCAGTGGGCACATTGGAGACTGCAGCACGGAACGCGGTCGCGCCGAGGTGGAAAATGCCCCCGCGCTGCCGTGCCCGGGTGGCACGGCAAGACCGAGAGAGCCCTGGTGACTGGGTTAACGCGGGTTCACCGTGAGCCGGGTTCACCGTGAGCCGGGTTCACGGTGAGCCGGGTTCACGGTGAGCCGAGTTCACCGTGAGCCGAGTTCACCGTGAGCCGGGTTCACCGTGAGCCGGGTTCACCTTGAGCCGGGTTCACGGTGAGCCGGGTTCACGGTGAGCCGGGTTCACCTTGAGCCGGGTTCACCGTGAGCCGAGTTCACCGTGAGCCGGGTTCACCGTGAGCCGAGTTCACCGTGAGCCGGGTTCACGGTGAGCCGGGTTCACCTTGAGCCGGGTTCACGGTGAGCCGGGTTCACCTTGAGCCGGGTTCACCGTGAGCCGGGTTCACGGTGAGCCGAGTTCACCGTGAGCCGAGTTCACCGTGAGCCGGGTTCACCGTGAGCCGGGTTCACCTTGAGCCGGGTTCACGGTGAGCCGGGTTCACGGTGAGCCGGGTTCACCTTGAGCCGGGTTCACCGTGAGCCGAGTTCACCGTGAGCCGGGTTCACGGTGAGCCGGGTTCACCTTGAGCCGGGTTCACCGTGAGCCGGGTTCACGGTGAGCCGGGTTCACCTTGAGCCGGGTTCACGGTGAGCCGGGTTCACTGTGAGCCGGGTTCACGGTGAGCCGGGTTCACGGTGAGCCGGGTTCACGGTGAGCCGGGTTCACCGTGAGCCGGGTTCACCGTGAGCCGGGTTCACGGTGAGCCGGGTTCACCGTGAGCCGGGTTCACCTTGAGCCGGGTTCACCTTGAGCCGGGTTCACCGTGAGCCGGGTTCACCGTGAGCCGGGTTCACGGTGAGCCGGGTTCACGATGAGCCGGGTTCACGATGAGCCGGGTTCACGGTGAGCCGGGTTCACCGTGAGCCGGGTTCACGGTGAGCCGGGTTCACCTTGAGCCGGGTTCACGGTGAGCCGGGTTCACCGTGAACCGGGTTCACGGTGAGCCGGGTTCACCTTGAGCCGGGTTCACCTTGAGCCGGGTTCACGGTGAGCCGGGTTCACCTTGAGCCGGGTTCACGGTGAGCCGAGTTCACCGTGAGCCGGGTTCACGGTGAACCCGGCTCATGGTGCAGAGTCTATTTGGGATGCGCTACAGGATCTCGCGCGCATCGGACGTTGCCGCGTACACCTGCGTGGAGTGCTAAATGTTGTGTTTGTGTACGACTTAGCCCGGATGCAGTTTTGCCGTATTGCATATATTTAGATGCACCGGTGTGCTCTGGGTAAGACTGGCCCCCGTCGTGGGAATGTCGAATTTCCACCGTTGGTCACAAACAAATTGGGAAATGCCCTGTACCCATTTGAGCACGGAGATGATTTGACGGGGTTTTTTTTCGTCTTTGACTCCATAAATGCGTTACACCAAGCAGCCCTCTGTGTGTGTACAGTGCGCTTTGTGTGGGCAGTGCACTGCGGATTTGCCGTGCGTGTACAGTGCGTGATTCGTGCGCGCGTTCCACGCTGAGAAGTCAAAAGGTTAAGATATCTCCCTGCTATAATCGGCAATGAGGCAGCATCGTCACTGGCGGCCGTGGTGGAAATCCCACATTCCCGCACCGGGCCAGTC